TGTTAGCACAGAACAACAGACAACCTTCCCAAATGGTTAACTTTCAGAAGATCAAGTCTGAGAAGAACACAAGGAACATGAATGCAAATACACTGATAGAATTAGCAGAAGAGACCAAATCTAGAATACATTAAGAAAGACTGTGTTGTCATGTACCTCTGGCTTTTTTGCATCCTACTGCCTATTCTAACAAACATACTATATCAGGAAAACACCATTTATTCAAATAAAAACAATCAAACAAAAAAGCCCCACTCAAAACAGATTATTTTAGAGTTTAGAGTGTGAAAATCAGCACCAGCCATTCCACTTTGAAGACTTCTGGAGCATTCTAGTTCTCACCCAAGAAATTAAATCCTTAGATCCAGTTGTTGTACTATACTTTATTTAGTAACAATGTAAAAATCTGGCCAAGAAGGCAGCAGCTTTTGTTTTTCAAATATTATTTCAGGTTTATAGATTTTCCCTTAACTTGTCAAAATAAATATTATATGTCTCCAAGGAATACAATTATTAAGGAACTCCAATTCATAAATTTAGATTATATGCATTTATTTATATAGAAATGGCAAAACAAATGCCAGCTTTCATAGCTAGGTCACATGCAGTAGCTACTCTACTTAGCTTTGCTGCCTGTTTATAAGAGCATTAGCCTGAAGGTATTCTAAGGTTAGATCACGAGACAACTGAGTCATTCAGATAGTCCTCATAGTTCACATGAATAAAAAAAAAACATCTAAAAAAAAGACTATAGCCAGGTTTTTTATTGCAGCTAGAAAGGCAAAAAAATAGTCCAGCCACAGTAAAATATCTGCAAAAGAGGTTTAAGCCTGATGTCTGTTGCTTTTCAAGGGACAAAGTAAAAACATTAATTTACATTGTTCAACTCCCAGAATTTCCAGTGTGTAAAACATTAACTGCATTAAATGAATACAGAATCTAATCCTGTACTAATCTGTGTCTTAGAACATACAAAACTGCTCCAAGTTCTTCTGCAGGATTTCCTGGCTTTTCTTTTGGAGACAGGGACAGAGACAGAAAAACTCATTAACCCAAATTATTTACAAATGCTGAAGCTCTTAATACCACAGACTGAGAATCCAGTCTATCTAATACATCTATATTGAAATTCCCAGTTAGAGCTAGTCAGGAGTCCCACTTCTGCAATGTGGAAGACCAGGATCTCTTGGCTGCCAGAGCATGTATGTTCACATACTTATCAAGGCCTTTTCAAGTCTCTAAGCAACACCACTGCCTGCAGAGTTTCTTCTACACTTGCAGAAACTCTTGCAAGCAAATACACACCACTCCCCAATCAATAACAAACTCCTAAAGATCTTCTAATCAGATACAAAAGGAGAAACAGAGCCCTAAAGAGTTACTTGAACAGATATCCCTCATCAGTTGAGGTAATTTGCCACACATTGCTGAATGCTACAAATAACTGAAGACCTAAGTATTTGGCACTCATAACAATGAGCATCACATCTCAGAATAGTCTTCCCAATGTGTATTTTAAAAATACACATTTCCCAAAATGTGTATTTTTTAAAAAATACACATTTTGACACAGTATAACATATAATTTTAAAACATTAAGTCTTGTTTGTTGTTGTCAAAGCACAATCAGAGCATGATAAACATTAATCCTTGTTTTTCAGATGTAGAAAGTGCAAGTATTTTGAGAGTAACCTATTCTATCAAAACATGTACAACATAAGAACTGTTTCCTCTCGAGTTTCAAAAGGGATGACTAACAGCATGAAAGAAATGGGTGTAAACTGAATCTTAAAGTATGCCTCCAACTTTTGTCTGAACCAGAGTATTTTGCTAGCAAAAACATCTTGTCCCAGTATAAGGATTGAGTGAAGAGCTAGACCCCACCTTTAACAACCTGTTCCAAGGGACAACTTCTTGGACTGTTATATTTGTACCTTTTTTTTCCATTTGAGCTTGATCAGCACTATTACTCACTTTTGCAATAAGCCCCCTGACTGAATTTCTTCCTTCTCCCAGTGTTATATTTTCTCACAAATGGCTGAACTAAAACAAACATCCTTTCTTTATAAGAATAAGAAAACAGAACACCATGATGGAGCATGTACCATTTTTTGGATAAACCTTTGGTTTTCATGGCTTCTGCAGCCTTTAGTAACCGATGCTATGCTGCATCATAGTGCTAAAAGATACAACATAAATCACACTGATCACATTTATAACACTTTGCAGGTGTATCCATCAGTTGTCTTTGCTGTTGTCCTGACAATAGTCTTATGCCGCACATATAATTGTAACTTGGTATCCATAATACATCACAGATCCCTTTCAGGGTCATGGAAAAACAGGATAAGCCAAATATTCACATGCTTTATTCCCAAAGTGATTGCTTTACCTTTGGAACTGCCAAACAGGATATGTGCTTTTGCTTGGCTTATGTAGGTTCAGAGATTACTCTGTTGTAACTTAACTTTTGGTCAGTAACAGAGACCTGAGATGTGAAAACCCACTGCATCCACACACACTGCACTGTAACATACTACAGAGGGACTAGACACAGCCCATTTTGTCTACAAGGAAGTTGAAGAAAAAAGGGAACAGCACTTTATGGATTTTTAGAGGTAGTTTTGCATATAGTTCAAAATTCCACCTTGTAAGAGGCAACACTTTTATTCATATTTACATTAAGAGATTGCAGTAAGTGCACATAAACATCCTTACTTGAAGCTAGCAAGTTAAGAAGTATAATAAAACATTCTCAAGAACTTTAAAGCCTTAGCTTTGAAGCCAGTGCTGAAGAAATATACCACAGAACTTGAAGAATTTGTTTGATGCACTGAACATCACCCATGAAAAATACAGAATTCAGAAAAAGAAGACTTGTGAATGTTTTAACATAAACAAGAAATTAACAGCTGCAAACAGGCAAGTCTGTCCAGTTTTACAGGCACACTAACAGTAAGTTGCATCTTGCTTTGTCAAGCAGATTCTGGCTGTGCATAACTGCTGTAAACGAATGGAGAATGGAGAAACAGCACCAACATTAAGGGAACAGAAGTGTATCTAGAAAGCCTGCTATTTTTTCATCCTTGAAGAAATGTGAAAGGCAGTAAGAACAACTGAGCTAGACACTTAGTTAATACCTTAATATTGTAATCAATTATCAGAGTTCTGCTGTAACAAATTAGTCCTGGGCACATGGGCAGGAAATAGAAGTGAGGTTGGAACTTCTGACTAGGCAAGGCTAAAAACTGTAGACTTAACTACGGCACTGAAATAAAAGAACAAAAGCTTTATACTAGCTGCAGTCATTAGAACAAAGCTTTACTATAATATCAAAGCCAAAAGAAAAAAAAAAAAAAAAAGAAGATAGTGGGTCTCATTCTACATGGTACTGGCTGGCATTATTTCAGTTCATTTCAAAAAAAGATCATTTGTCTTTTTTTAAAATGTAAGACATTGTACTGCAGAATACCCAAGCAGTCACACAGTATTTTTATTCTGTAAAAACTATCTGCAACTGTAAGGATGGAAAAAACTTCTTAACAATGCAAAATATTCCACCAGACAGCTCTGCATTCATAAATGGGAAATTACACTAATTCTCTGTACAAATTAGAAATGTCTTAAGTTGAATGTCTAACATCTCCAGTTTTGGAAGCTGACTCAGTACAGTAAGCAGAGTTCAGGTTTGTTAAAGCAAACACTGAAATACAACCATTTTATTGGTAAAAGTATGAGTAAAGAGCATTTACTAAAATACTGCTAAATACTAAAATACTGCTCTTGAAACTCAGCATCAGGCTTTACCTAAACTAACATAGTTCAGCTAAGTATCAATAAAAGCAAAAACAGAACAGGCACTTTGGGCAAAGTCTAACAGAAGCCCTGACTCTTAACAGAAGATATCAAAGCCACAACTAATATGTAGACATTTGACACCCAACGGAGAAAAGACAAAAGCATGAAATGCATGTTATGACTACAGGAAACGTAAAAAATACTGCCACACTACCACAGTAACAGGTCAGAACTGATTTGCCCAGTAATTTCAGACCCAAATTTTTAACATCTGCTTGGCTACAGCAACTCTTTCAGAAAGACATCTGCTATTTACTCAGGAGACACAGGGCCTTCTGGTGATCTTCAGTATCTCTCAAAAAGGGCTTTTCAATGAGTAATTAATTACAAATAGCTTTTAATTCAACAAATACACATAGATTCTCAGGAAACTAATTTAGACTGTCAACTCTCTTGTAAAGAGCTGGAAAGTGCTGCAAGTAGAAGCATCATCTGAAGACTGTTCAGTCTCTTGGCACATAGAAATTAGCACCAGGTGTCCTGACTGGCATAAACACCAAAAACAAACCCAATATGAAGTCCTTAAAACTCTGCCAGATTTTGAAACGCCATCTGCCACTTAATAAGCTGCGATTTCTCTCTCTGCCATATGAGCAGGCACACACATCAACATGCTCCGATAACTTCAACTTCTTACACAAACATAGTCTACAGTGATACATGCAGACAACTCACACTGCCAGGTTATTTACAAAGAACATTCCAGAAAAAGAAGGCTATGCAGGATTCTTCCATTTGTTTGGTTTTGGCTTTTTTTAATGCTGCAACACATGAGTTCATTCATTACTTACTTTGGCTAAAAAGTAAATTTCCTTTTTTTTTTTTTTTTTTTTTTTATTGATTTTTTTTTTTTTTTTTTTTTTTTTGCATACAGTTTAAATCTCCTTACGTTTCACTGGAAACAGAACAGAACAGACTACATAGCCTAAGATGGGTAGCAAGAAGACAGGAAGTAGAGAAAACCCAGATAAATAGGTTTTTTTCCATATTCCTTGAAACTAGAGACAGTGATAGTTTGATAGTTTACAGAATTATCCACTGTGCATCTATTCTTCCCAGAAAAGAACAAACATATTAATATAACATATAAACTTAATTTGAGCTGCACCACAGAAAATATAAAATGCACTCAGAAAACTCACCAGAACCGAAACATGACAGACTTTGCTGTACATTTCTTCCAGGAGTACCTTCAGAAAGGGAAGAAACAAACAAACAAAAAAATTATACTTCAAGCCAGTAAGGAACAATAGGGCTACCTTTTGTTTAAGATCCAAGATTCTTTCTACATTAGCTCCTCAAACTTTGCAATTTCAGCTTCTTTATTCTGATGGCTGATGGCATGATCTACAGCAAGATTTAGCATTGCAAGAAACTGTTCGAAAATGCAGGAGGCATTACAATCATCCCAATTACAATTACTGTATATCGTTTAAATCAGGTAGCACTGTTTCACTTTACTCATTCAAAGAGGACCACAGACAATGAAAAACTATCATCTATACTGGCATTATAACATTTTTTTTCTTTCTCTATGCTACAGTTATTTTATTTGTACAGAGAGCAATAAATTAACAACACTCTCAAATGTGCTAACAATCAAGTTAGCTATAAATGACAGCACTAAGAAAGTTAACCCACCCTTACGATACCCTTGTATTACTTACAAGTTATGTGAAAATAACTAAAAACTTTATTATTTGAAGGTTATTGAACAAAACCAATATTTTGGACTGCTGGGTGTAAGTGCAAAAGTCATGTGCAGAAGTTCATAAAAGGTCTTTTGACAACACCTTTCTGCATGCTTTAGGAATAGTGTGGATCCTATGGCACAGGCTTCCTCAGGAAACAAGCTGCTTTGTAGCACCACTGGACTTGTTCCCCCGCCTCAGCCTTGCAAATAGAGCTTTGCTCTCAAAGTAAAAATTTGGTCTTACAAAGCTTCTCCAAAGTTTGCATCTGTTCTTTTGATTCACTCTGACAGAAAGGACCAATTTTAATTCAAAGTTAATGATAAAACAAACATTTGATACAGAAACAGAGTGGAGTAAATATTCTCAACAGGCAGAGCTCATCAGCATGCTCTCACAAGAATATTGCTAAAATTAAACACAAACTTGGCAAAATCTAGTCTACACTGTGTCTTGCAAGCATACAACCTTATAAGCAAGTGACAGAACATAATTTAACAGACAGATTAATTATTCTGTATTTTTAGTCCTTATGGGATGCAAGTTTCAAGCAGACAATGGACGTCCCTAAAGCAAATAGGTAAAGAACAGAACCTTGCAGAGCCAGTGTCCAATCTGGTGAACTGCAAAGAAAATGAGTCAACTATCTCAATTATTCTGAAATCATAAAGCATAGCTGCTCCTTCTCAAGACAGAGAAATCCAAGGAAAAGTGAAAAAACTGACTACCCAACAGCTAATTACCTCTAGTCTCACTGGCTTTTCTTGCTAAGTGTAGAGGCCCAGATGATTTTGGTGTGCACTGGTTCAGTGAAGCAGACCTGGTCTTTGCTCCTAAAAGTAAAAGCTTAGATGAACTTTAAAGTACAACTATTTAAAGTTTTAAAATAATTGAAGATATATCTTACACTTTTACATTTAAGTACAAGATCCACAAATCTATTCAAACACAAAAAGAGAAACCTTCTAGAATGTTTAAGCTGTATTTAAACTTAGCTCTGCTTCTCCAGAACCCACTTTGGAAGAAATAAAAAAGATAATTTTAAAAGCCTTCTAAGCAGGAGAAAACATTAGTAAGGATTTCATTTTAGCACTAAGATCAAGTTACTTAAGTCCTAAACCAGCAGCAAATACAATGCAGATAAAGAAACACTGGGTGAACCTCCAGAGGCCAGATATCAACACTCCCATTCAGAGCAGAGTCACCATTAGGACGAGATCAGCTGACCACGCTTTTGTCTAGATGGGCCTTACAAACCTCCAGGAAGGGTGGTTCTACAGCACCACTGGGCAAGGATGCATCTCCCACTCTACAATTTGCAAGCATTTCTGATTGCTACATGATCTGGTGCTACTGAGAAGAGTTTGGCACCATGAGCTTTATAGCTGTCCTTTTTCAAGTTATTGTCTGCACCACCTCAACTCCCTGAACCTCTTCTCACTGGACAGGGACCCCAGCCATCTTCTTAAGTCTCCACTGAATCTTTCCAGTTTCAAAACAACCCTCTTGGTCTGGGAAGAACCCAAAACACAACACTATAGGCCTGGTAACACTGATCTGAAGGGGAATACCAGCTTCCTTTGGCCACACTGCTCCTCCAGGTGCTCAAGGCACACTGCCAGGTCACTGAAGACAATGAGCTATGCATAGTTGTGCTGCATGTGCTGGACCCCGACAGAAAGCATCAGCTTGTCAGAAAGCCATATGATTCGTGTTTGTTTCAAAGCGACTTGTAATTTGTGGCAAATGCTGTTTCTTTTCACTGTTTACTCTTTTAAAGCATGTCATTACAAGTGAGACATTTGGCAGGCATCTCTTATTTATTCTCCATTATGTCAGATACCAGCTTAAAATTTAAGTCTAATGCAGGAGTACAGCATTTAATTAGGTTTATCCAATTACAATAACCAGTTCACCACAAAGATGGTCAAAAGCAAGCTGATTACAGCTAGGACTTAGGAAAGAGACACAGCAAGCTTATTTATCTGCTCCCATTATGTCTTTAGTTTTGGTCAGAGAATGACTTGTCAGCTGGTGTTTGTGGCTTGAGTGGAAGACACACTGTTGGCCAAGCAAGAGTTCCTAGCTCAAACCAAAATAAGAACCTGAACAATGCTTAATACAAAGTCAGGAAGTACATTTAATGTTTCTTTCAGCACAAGATGATAAAACACAATTAATCGTCTTGTCTCCATTAAAGCTTCTAACTCATCCCAAATATAATACCAAGAAAAAGCAACATGAGAACTTAAGTTTCTGTGACTCTTCCCTTTGAAAGATGGGACAATGTCATTGTTCTACAGAAGAAGATACATTCTAACAATATCTTATTCAAAAATACATCCCCATCCTCCAAGGTCCTTTCAGTCTTGAGAAGGGTGAAGATAATACGAAGTCTGCATAAAGACAAGAACAACCATACACTCAGGATAAATTCAGGTATGTCTGTTCTGCAGATTACCAGCAGTGACAAAGCCTGTGCCCTGAATTTTCCAAAGGAAAATAACTCCTTTTAAAGCAACGCAAATCCCATGTAATGAAACCTGCTATGTAGCAAGGTGCATTTAGTCCTGTACCATGCAAACCTGAACTGTACCACAGCACAGACCTCTCCATTTCCCTGAAATACCTCCATCAATTATGGCAACACAAAGACTATTTTAGCCTTCTTATGAAATCTTACAACCCTTGAAGCACCACTGATGTGATTTTACCTCCTCTGTCTACAAGCAGACTCATATACCTTTTGGAGTTGACCTCAACGAGTGCAATCTAGGTCTTGGTAGTGCTTTCAAAGGGACAGACCCCAAAGTGCCATTCTGGCAAGCTGGTTTTGAAGGCCATTCTCCATTCCTGATGACTGTGGCACTTACAGCTGCAAAACAGAATCACAAAAGAATTTGCTCTAGGCATATATAGTTTAGAGAAAATTAAACCATAAGACAACTCAGTTTTTGCAGAAACTAAATGACCTTGAAAGAGGTTTGAATCTATGGTCACAATTGAATGGTCACAATTGAAATTTTTCCTTAAAAACAAAAACCTGAAATTTTGGGATACATTCTTTCTGTTGTCCAGAAAAACTATGAAAATATTTCTAAATTAAGTACTGATTGAGTAGACTTTTTTCTGGACACTAAAAAATTGTGTATACCAACATGTTAAAGAGTAAGAATTCACATGGCATTTACCAGAGACAAGAAAAAATTAACTCACTGTGGAATTGTTTGTCACAACACTGCTTTTCTCTCTAGTCATTGGGAAAAAAAAGGGTGGGGGAGGAGGAAATTTTTGTCATATACTACCAGGTTTGCCTCAGACTAATGTTTTAATGAAACTGCATTTTTTTAAAGGCAATGTGAACTACATGTATTGTCTAATATTGTTCATTAAGAGATTGAGCATACAGTCTTGAGATTGTCTTTAAACAGACTAGCATAAATCATGTAAGTTACCACAGAAAGAGGATTTCCCTTTAACAAACATATGCAACTGAAGCCATCATCTTTTTTTAAAAAAAGGAAGTTGGAGCCTCTCTAAATACACAAAAGCTAAATATTGGCCAAAAACTTCTGTACACAAGGAGCAATTTGCATAAGACATCAGCAACACAGTTATTCTGTGGGAATCTGACCCTGATCACATTAGAGAATTAAAAACTCTTTGTTTTAGTAAAGCACAAGGCACGAAGCAGTCCTTAACTTTTTTTTGCAAATCACTAAATTAAGGATGTTTGCTCAGAGTTCACTGCAAGCAGTTAACAATTGCTTACAAACTAGTGTGCTACTTCCTCTTCTAAATCAGCAGCACACCATGGAAGTAGTGCTTTGGGTGTGTGAGCAGCCTTCTGGTGTAGGAGTAGTTAGGGAACTGTTCTGCCCTATTAAAAATTCTGGAGTCAGCTAACTAGGCTGTGTGGAAGTATCAAAAAATACCCAAAATGACCCCACAAAAACCTCCCAGGTTTACAGTGTTTGATCACTTTTGGATTCAAATTCAGAGCAGCTACTGCAATCCTGAATAAAGACAGACAGGTATGAAATTATTTCAGCCCAGTAAAGATCTGAAAACTCAACTCATTAGAAGAATTTTAATGAAGTACTGGCTGTACAAAAATGCAGATGCAGGTCAACTGCAAGGATCAGCTTTTTAACTTTTGAAGCAGTATTTACTATATATGTAATTACTCTAATGCAATTAAAATCTGGAATATTTTTTTTTAACCTCAGAGTTAATATGTATGTTCAAAGGACAGCATTTTTAGCTCAACACTAAAACTGAGATTACTATTTTAAAAAAAAATCTGGCTTTCAAAGCTCAAACTGACTGCATACAAAATATGCTTTTAGTAACAACAGTATTTCTGACCTCATGATTTTCAAGCTTCTCAAATAAGAATTCATTTTAGAGAAAAGAATCACAACGTTCAAGAGCTCATTAGACAAAACAAACAAAAAACAACACCACACCAAGCCCTAATGCTGCCACATGGAGTTACCAATCCAAGGACGTCCCATAACAAAGGGCTGAACTGACAAAGCAGCAGAAATGCTCCCCTGTAATTTTTTTTTCTCTGCTAAAAGAAGACAAACTCCAAACAAGCCAAGTGCCTTTTTAATTTAATATTGTTGACAGGATCACAGTAGTTTGTCATACATTTCATGACACACACAACATAAGCCTCCCATTCTGAGCTTTGTGTGTCCCACCAATCTAATAAAAACACTTTAGCTTCACAATTTTTTCTGAAATTATTACATAGTAGACTAAATGCAAGAATGAAAAACAAGAACAGCACTGTACTTAGCATTAGAATACAAAGAAAATTCCTTAGTTCTTTCCAAGTTGATTCAGTCAAAAATTTCATTAACATATGAATTACACATAATCTTAGTCATTATACTCACAAATCCTTACTATTAGATATAAATAATTCTCATCAAGTGTAAAATAATCCCTAAAGAAAAATAATATCACAGAAAATCAGCAGATCAAAACATTGCATATATTTACCAACTTCCACAAAACAAAATACATGCTTTAGAATAGAAATAAAAGGAATACCACCTACTTCTCTTCCCAGTAAACGTGGCTAACAAAGGAACAATACAAAAGCTGTAGGAACCCACTAGCAGCAATGTCAGTAAGGTAATATCATAGTGGCTTCCTGAGTCAGTCGGTGGTGTTAGTGTAGAATTGAAGAAAATAACAGGAGAAAAATTAGTTTCTGTGCAACTGCGTAGTCCTCCTGGTATAGTCATTTAAAAAATATCTAAGCAAGCTTAAAGTCTACGAGACTGCAGCCATGTTCGACCTCTCATATTGCTCTTGCTTGGTCTTCGTGAATCGGAGTGGAAAAAATTGTAAGCTTGAAGGCAGTGGACAAAACAGATTACAGCAGCTAGCAAATCAGGCTAAATAAGGAGTCATCTGTTTGAATACTTAATCTGAATACACTCCTTTGTAATGAAGCAATGACCCCTTCCTTTGTTACATGAGGGAGCAAAGCAAAGAGAAGACAAAGCTGCTTAGCAACTCCAGATACAGTTCTAAACCTGAACAGCAAAAGTCAACATGGCTGTCACAGTATCAGAACCGATCTCATTACACAGCAAGATGCACATGCATATTTTATTACACATACTCTTATTCATTTGAGGACTATGTTAGCTTCTAGTTTAATGAAGGCAGTACGAGGCGGGGGGAGAAGAATATGAGGAAATGTAGTTATGTGTGTATGCATATGCGCATATATAAACCACAGACGTATGTTAAATCATAGCTCTCTTTTTCAGTCCATTGAAGACAGATTTAAGTGACATATGGCATAAATAAAAGGTCTTTGCCCAGTCTTCAAGATATAACAGGTGATAAAATAGTAGCAGAATATTTGAATGTAGTTAAAGTATGCATAGCTGGGGATACGAATATGTCTGACAGTCAGCTGTATGTTACTTGCTTTATACTTTTCCCCCTCAGAACTCCTAAGAACTGCTGTAGAACTTCAAAACAAAGTAAATCCTGGTATTATTCTCACTAACTTTAATCAAGATTGATTTGGTTAGATCATACACCAATGTTTACGGCTACCTTAGATATTACAGAAGTCTACCCATACCAAAATTTATCTTCTAAAACAAGTTTCACTTATGTGCCTGTAATTTGATCTACATATTTTGTCCTAAGACTCTGAAAGTAGATATAAACTGATTTAAAAAAAACATTTAGCATCAAAAAACCTGTAACACACTGTTCCAAATATTATGACAAGTAAACCATTCTGTCCAGACATATTACACTACATGTAAACATTAGGAAACTCTTGCTTCAAAAAGACATGCTGATTATGTAGTGTTTCAGGATAGAAGAGAAGTTGTACCAAAATCTCTACTCATCAACCCAAAATCCAAGGCTCAAAGCTCTTCCAGATAGTATGTCTCAAAAAAGTTCCAAGTAAAAGAGGCAAAAAGATTAAGACCTAGAATTAACAAGCAGTAAAATCAGAATTAACACAGGTACACCCTACCAAGAGGATTTTTACTGGCAAGCAATTGATGCTGGCTATCAAACAGTTAAAACCCATAACCCTCACATATACTTACAATTAGTGCTGAAAAGACTTTGTTCACTCTGAGCGCTGCTCACTGATGAGAGGCTAGGTGTTCTCTCAAGCACTGATCTTTTGACAGGCACTTTGGATTTGGCAAGGGATTTACCAAAGCTAGTCAAGGCTGAAGAATTTGTCACTGAGGCACGCCTCTCTCCTGGCAAAGATCCTACACCTGTCAATCAGGGGGGAAAGAGGAGGAAGAAATAAGAACAAAAGAAGTAGGAAAGAAAGTTAAATGATTGTTTCTTTTACATGTATGTCTACAAATAAAAATATTTACACAGTAAAAAGACATAAAATGGCTTAATCTACTTACTACTGACATGGTAAAAAGTGCTGTAAATGCAGAAAAACAGTTCCAAGGACTTAAAGTCTTAGAAACAAGTCTAGAGCTCAACAGATTTGCCTTCAGTGCAGACATCTGCACTATTAAAAAAAGTCTTTATTCGCATTTTCCTACCTCACATTATGATTTGCTGTACTGGCAATCCCACAAAAATATAACCTCCATTTCAAACACAATCTAAGAAAGGATTCTTTTGCTTGAACAGATCCACAACCCCACTCCCCTCTGACAGAACACGCTAAAAGATAATATCCTTTCAAGGAATAAGACAGCATGAGAGTATCAAATTGCTTTGTACTCATATAATAAATATCCTGAAAACTGAGTAGTTCTACATAACTCGTTTAACAGCACTTCCAATACCAAGTTCTTAATGGCCATCTGGTGCAGAAACATTTTTGTATATTAAGTCCAGTTTTCATTTGAGCTTTGAATACAAACACCCAACAGCTAAGTTAATCAAACAGGAAAAGCACCTATACAAGAGGTAAGTGTAGGAGGAGCTCACTCTTGAACCACTAACAAAGAAAATACACTTTCCACAAGAAAATCTGAGTTTAGACAAATTAAGCTTCTAGTTAATTTCCTGAAAAGTGTGCAACCAGATTAAATTTTCAATAGCAGAGAGAAGTTATACACATACAGACTTCTCTTGCCAGCTCTGAGTTTAATCCTGCCGGCCCCAGTATCAAGATCTTAGTATCAGCTTTTTGAATATGGATAAGACATTTTCATTTTTGTACAAAAACAGAGAAGACACACTTACATTTTTTAGAAAATATTTTGTTACTTATTATAAGAAAAACTATCTAAAATATGTTGATTTCTTATGTCACTGTCATTTTCAAGGCTGACAGTTTGTATTAAGCAACTACAGTGTCTCAGACTTGACATAGAACAATCAAATTTCTATTTAAAGGGAATACCCTTCCCTTTATTCTTGTCACTATAAACAACATTTCAACTTTGCTTAAACTAGAAAACTGCTGATATATGACAAAATTAGCTAGTAATTTCACCTTAAGCAATACTAGTTTTACTACAGGATTTCTACTCCTAAATACTAACAACCAAGAAACCAATTTGCACCAAATGCAGGAAATCATGACATTAAGGGGATTGCATTAAATTTTAGACAAGAAAAACATGCCCAATGTCTTCCTTTCAACAGTAGGTGGTGTGACAGGATTAGGCAACTTGTCTCAAAAATGTCCTATATCTAGTAGACAAAACCAGGAACAGGATTGGTAAATGAAGGCATGTCCATGCTACTTCCCTCAGTTCAGATCAATTCAGACACAAAAGAGAAGCCTCACAATATATACTGAACCTGCATTAATATATAACATACTACTGGTCACAGAATATAACACACAAGCTTCAATGAGCAATTAAGCAAGCTTTGTATCAGATGTCTCTTCACAGGTGCACTTTCACTAACTGTCATTACTATGCAGAACTCTGATTCTGTACATAGCTTTACTGTAGCCTGGTATTAAACCTCTGAGACAAAATTATCAGCCATATTTTAGAATTTTTTGAAAGTTACTGGAAGGGACAATTGAATATATGGAACATGCTAAAGAGCATAGAAGCTTTGTTGTGCTGAGAACACCGCAAACCACAAATTCACCCTTTTTAAAAACACCTCTGAAACAGCACTGCAGACAATGTAACAGAAATAAATTTATGCGTTTGACCAAAAAAAGTTTCTGTCCCATTTGCATGTCGCAGAACAAACCTGACAGCTTTATAAAACTTTCCACAATGTTTTCCGAATTTTTCATTCATGGGTCAACATACCAGGAAAATAACTAATCCAAAACAGTCAGAATTCCTTTTGTAAATAGCCTCTCAATAAAACAAGGTACAAACCCAAACAACTGCCCCCAAAAACAAACAGAAAAAAGTGTCACTGTACAAACACCGTGTGTTAAGTTTGTATGACTTAGTGAGTTAAAGTTCTACATTACTAAAGGGAGCTAGAGGAACAAATGCATTTTATCAGCTCGATTTGATTACTTAAAGGTGAAGGTAACATGTTTGATTGCTATTGTGCCGGACTCGTTCATCCAGTCCAACACATACAGGAACAAAATCCTGTTTTCTTCACAGTGATTTTCACTCAAGAGGGTCAAAGTAAGCATGTGAAAATCTCAGTCCTGTCTAATACAGCATGTTCTCTATACATGATCTGCAGCAAGCCCAACTTCTCTGCAGAGGCTGGAGTTCAGCAAGCCCAACTTCTCTGCAGAGATTTTAATTCAGTGCTCTGAATTCAAACCCATCCATTGAGCATAACAATCTCTAGGATGTCCAGTTTCAAAAGCATGTCAAATCTTTTCTAAGCAGATGACCTTTTCTCTTACTTTTTCTGCTGCTTGGTACTTTCCTATAATGCTTCTATTAAAGTAGTTACTCAAGCACTCGAATTTTTCAAAAGCCCAGCTCAAGAGAGAATTTAAGTCATGACACAAGATGATTAAGCACCTACTCTAGGTATTACTTCAACTAATGGTTTTAAAGGTTTTGTCGTAAGTACCATTCCCTAAGAATTAAATACAAAGGTTTTGAAGACAGAATCAGGAAGATATGGAATACAAACAAAATATTGGAAATAAGCATAAAAGCAGGATATTTAGTCAACCATTATTATAAACAAAACAAGCAGTAGCATCAAAGTAACTGACTTTCATCAGTTATTTAATCTAGTCACTGAAGTGGGATACCAGAAATACTACATTCCTCTACAGTGAACGAATGAGTTGGCAATTCTTTAGAAAAAAGTCTCCATGCACCAACCATGTTATTTGGACTACGTTAAAGTCTCTCTTGTATCAGAATGGAAATAATCAAAGAACAAAGCTCATTCTTCAAGAAGCTCTGAAGCCAGCTTTCATATCCTTACTCAAATAATCATCCTTTCATATCAATCCATTATAGGTGGTTATTGTCAAGAAAAAGTTAAGGCTTCCTTTAAACAGCACTGGAGCCTAAAAAACCACACACTGACAGAATGTTGACATGAGGCAGACTGTAAAGCCAAATATGTATTCACAAATTCTGAAATTTCATGTCTACCATTTCAACACATATCAACACATTTTACATATAAGGCTGAACACTGAGCAACTGACATTCACTGAACTACATGGCACCTGGAAATGGGTGGTTGGAAGCCTTTTCCAAACACAAATTTGGGGCACACTAAGTGCAAAAGGAGTTTTTTGAAGGATACTGTTTCTTGTTACTACTTTTGCTTAAACCTAAAGCTAACACTAATAATTGCTTTGGCCCTTCAAGGCCTAATCTCTTGAAAATGTTGGATTTGGGATTTTTGCTTAATGCATTTCTGTTTTTCCCTGCGAGTTTAAAAATCCGAAGGGTTCTGTTTTAAAAATGTTAAACTTCTTAGCTAGTGAAAAAGCCCTGTCTAAGCCTACAGTACAAGGTCTTGATAAAGCACAGGGAGTAAACCTCCAAGAAAACATGCTATTTTTTGGCATCTATTGAAAAGTGCAAGTAAATAATGGAAAAACAAACTGGACTTTGGTATTGTTTCCAGAAGACTGATCTTGACATAAATGTAAAAGTGCTTATGGTTGCCATTTTAAACAGTGCAAAGCAGTAGCCATACTAACAGTTTTCTGATGGCTGCAAGCTCCCCAGTTTGCCTGATTAGCCACTCAGCATTATTAACTATACCATCTATTATGCTATACATGTATCAGTGTTCCTTCAAGGAAGGAAGACTGGTTACAGTATGTTTAGTAATTCTAAGATAATGTTTTTCTAATTATATCTCTCTTTTCAAGTCTCAAATTACTACCAAAATTACCAAAAAGGCAGGACACAGTTACATTATGTTGTTATGAATGCTCAAATGTTCAACATAAACATGGACGAAACCAGGGAATTTCAAGTTATTTCTGAGTCTTGAAATATTTATAAGAGAGAAATTGTTTAGCAGGTAACAACTGGTCAGAGAACAGTTTATATACTAAGTCAAGATTCAATTCCCATTGACAAAGACTTTTACATGAAGCTTCCCATTCCCCTACAATCATCAGACAGGTAGCAAGGAACCAGCAGAAAGCTAGTGTCAAAAATCTAACTAGGATAGCCATCCAGGTAGTGTTCACATGTTATTCCTGCCTCAGCTAAACATTCTTGGACTAAAACCAGAGAATGGATCATCACTGCTACAGAGCATTTCATAATCAGTTACCAACAACCAAAACAACTATTTTTCTTCCTTCAAATGATCCTGCCATCAGAAGAGTGATTGGGGTGTTTTCAGTTAGAGGAAGAGAGAGGAAAAGTAGTGTCTCATGTATGCCTACTGTTCAATTTCACTTTGGGTCCTCCCTGGGGTCCAGTTTTGAAATGTGGCAGATTTTCTCCCAGTTAAACCCTTCCACCATCAGAGACTTCTCCCTTCCTCATCTTCCTTTCAACCCCTTGCATTATGACCTCTCCAGCACCTAGAAACAGCCCTTCTCTACCCTGGCCTCAAGTTTGAGCTCACACCTGCTCCCTCACCTCATCTTTTCCCATAATGATGTCTGCTGGATTTAGTCCATTTTTGGTTTCCTTTTGAAGACTGAACTAGAGCAGCCCGATGAGAGACCATGTCTGCACAGTCAAGCTGCCAACCTCCTATGAGCCCAAGCAAAGCCTGTCTCTGGATAGCAGATAGTTTTACACCAGCTTCCCAGGCACAGTAGTGGCAAAGCTTGGCCACTCTGGTTTTGCAGAGACTCTCATAGGCTGCATGCTGACTTAAACAATCCAATCCCAACCCCTAGCTTTAACACAGGTATGGT